TGTGTTACAATGGCATTTGTTAGCAATCAGGAAAGGACACCAGTAATGACAAACAGATGAGAATGCTGCGTGGGGTCTGGGTGCCGTGTTGGCGGCACGTTGCGGGGCTCGCTGCTGCGGACAGTGTGAGCTGGATTACTGGACTCGTTTCCTGGTTGCTGCATGGGGTCTGCGAGACAGCGATACACCGCAAAACTCACCTGAACTCAGTCTGAGCACACACACTTTGAAGTTGTGTGTGTGCTCAGAACGAGCCCAGGCCGAGCCCTGCCGCGTCTCGCCGTCTCAGGCTGAGTTCAGGCTGAATTCAGGCTGAGTTCAGGCTGAGAAATCCGCGGAGCTGCAGCTGAGAAAATATTGAGTGTGTGTGTGTGTGTGTGACCAATGGACCAATCTGCGGAGACGTTACGTCACTATACCCAATACGTCACTGTACTGACTGCACTATAGGAAGAAAACAATGGAAAAATAAAAATCTCAAACGAGGCGTTCTGGGGCAGCATGGACAGGTATTTTCTGTGTTAGAGTATTACTCGCTACAGGGTGTACTTTGAGGGTTTTTGACTCTGCAGACCGTTTACATGCAGAAAAACCTTCATAACACACAAGGGGACGGGTAATAACCGGAAAAGCATGACATGGGACCTTTAAATGTTATTTTCCCGTTCCAGTCAAAGCTCCCCCTTTACTGGGACAGAAATTAATGTTTTCACACAGTCTGTATGTCTCTTACCGCATCAGCCTCTGCCACCTGACAGATCACTTCCCCAGTCGCTGGGTTGATGGTGGGGAAGGTCTTCCCACTCACTGCATCGTGCCACTGGTTGTTGATGAACAGCTGAAACATTCAAATTGATGATTTTAATAGGCAGAGCTCTAACCAAAGTCATTGTAAAACTGAAATAAAAAAATGACAGATCTGGTTTCAAACACTTTAGTCTGTTTCATGTCACAGTCTCTACAGGTGGAGCAATAAAGTAAATGCAATTTTCTTGGAAGCACCAATCTGCCATGTATGCCACTCCTCAAACATTTTATATGGGCTGAGGTATGAGGAATCTTTTTTGTTTGGATTATGATAGAGATTAGACTGGCTCTGGGTGTAACCAAATAATAATGCCAGAAACTGCCACTACATACCGACAAACGGTCAATTACACCCAATCTGACAAAATATGCACATGGCTCACATGACCTCATATGACCTTATTTCAGGGGTGGGGGAATATGACAAAAAGGCATTGTCAAAACAAAAAAGAATGTCTCCATATCTCATAAAGGACAAAGGAAATACTTGGCAATGACACCCAACCCTTATCTTTTTCCAGTAACAGGGTTGTTTTTATCCACACACCTGCTGGAAACAATGCATCAACTAACAGTCTCAGCAGACAGGTATCTCTTTGTATATTTGCAAATCTGCAGGGATTTTGGATCTGACCCTCCAGCTGGTCCAGGGGCTGCTCTGTGGCCAGCAGATCAACCCTAACCCGTATGAAATAATGAATGTGTGTGATAGGGAAGAAAATAATTTAGATTACATAGAGAAGTCAACTTGCATGGCCAGAATTATACAGGCAGGAGTCAGAAGAGCAAAGTCTGCAAACAGAAGTGGACAGTACACACGTTTTCATAGCACGAGGTCTTACTGTTAATCCTTATATAACCTCCCCATGTGAAACTTATCTCCCAGTGGCCTACATTTGAACTTGTCAGTAGTTCGGCAGCCCATTGATCATAGCAGGAAGTTTCAGTTAGTGAGTCTGGATCCTGGACCTCAGCTCGTTGCACGTTTCCCGACATAAAATCACAAATGAGCACCAAAACTGCAGTGACCAATAACTCCCCACTGCTACAGTTCTGCATTAACAAGCACTTGTTGGTTTTGCAGCTGACCAAAGTCCAGCTGAGTCAAAGTACTGGCAGTATAGGCTATCGTTGTTACCTTGTTGTAGTGGACCTCAGGCTGGGTGTTGGGTGCAGGGATGGCGGCCGCAGTGAAGTGACACACCGCGGGCCGACTCAGTCTAGGAAGGGCTCGAGAAATCACGGTGCGGAGCATTGTGCTTCTTTGTGGCACACAAGAAACAAACCAGCAGTTTAGAGTCGGTTGTCTATTACAAACACACACGAGGGAGCGCGCTGCGTGCCCGCGGCGGTTCCTGACGTACAGAAGGAACGCCCCCGGGACGCGCTCTTACCACAGCCATTTTCTTGCAAATATTTTCAAGAAATAATAAACATCATATGTATAATATTATATACAGACAACATCGTTTACAACAGGGTGCATGGGCGGTTCTAGGGGGGAGCCGAGAGGGACCAGCGCCCCTTCAACACCCCCTTGTGGGCCGAGAAGCCCCTCACTGCAGTGCGCAGGAGAAGCCCCTCACTGCAGTGCGCAGTACCACACGCCCCTCCTTCTCAACCTCAAGATCGCCCCTCCTTCTCAACCTTTGAGGCACGTGACGAGCTTCACTGATGATGCGTTGCATCCTGTTTCCGGGGTAGCAGTTCTCTTCCCTCCCTTCAATCTAACCCTTCCCTTCCCCCCATCCTAACCCTAACCGCTACCTTTTTACCTAATCCTAATCTTCCTTCCTCCCTCCCAAACCTAAACCCCAAAACCTCTCCTACTGTAAGAAATTAAAATCAATGTTGATATGACGTAATTTAAATTAAATACAGGGTTTTAATATAAAGCAGTTTTATTCTGAAAAAACCGGAAGTTCACACTAACTATTAATTTAACACTTTTATTCTGAAAATTCTTCATTTCCGGTTAGCATTAGCATGTGGCTAACGTTTTGAAAACCGTGAATTGAAGGTGAAATGACATGTGATGTTGCACACTAAACACACTGGGATTAACACTCATTTATTGACGCTGAAATAACGTTTATCAGGGAATGTTTAAATAACCACAGACATCAGAATTATATATATATTAATAATATAAGATATAATATGTTACTTTTGTGACTGGGTAAGTACACAACACGGAAGTCGGGACGTCACGTGCCTCAAAGGTTGAGAAGGAGGGGCGTCCCGTCACGTGTCTCAAAGGTTGAGAAGGAGGGGCGTCCCGTCACGTGCTCAAAGGTTGAGAAGGAGGGGCCTGTGGTACTGCGCACTGCAGTGAGGGGTACTACAAATTCAACGAGCGCATTCCGTTCTCAGCTGAAGCGTATGGTGCGAGACGTCACTGCAATACATTATGCTCTTTATATATAGTTTATAAAAAATTACAAAATTGTAATTTTCATACTCTGTGATAGGCCTCGGTGACAGTTAGTTAGTTAGTTTTTTTCTCTTATTTGAAGTTCAGATGATGCATGCTGGGTAATGAATTATTTACATGGATGTAGCCTACGTAATATAGCCAGAAATGGTTCTACAATTGTGTCTGATTTTTCAATCCATCAC